ACCAAAAAAAAAAAAAAAAAAAAGATAGGAAAACAAAAAGTATGTGTATGTATATCAGGCTGAACCATATGAAATATGATTATTTTTAAAAATAGAGACAGGGGTCTCACTATGTTGCCCATGCTGGTCTTGAACTCCTGGTCTCGAATGATCCTCTTGCTTCAGGCTCCCAAAGTGCTGAGATTACAGGTATGTACCACTGTGCCCAGTCAATTTTTTTTTTGAGTTGGAGTCTCACTCTGTCGCCCAGACTGGAGTGCAGTGGCCGCTCCCGGCCACCGCAGCCTCAACCTGCTGGGCTCCGGCGATCCTTCCGCCTTAGCCTTCAAAGTAGCCGGAATTACAGGCATGCGCTACCACGCCCGGCTGATTTTTTGATTTACTGTAGAAATGAAGTCTCACTGCTCAGGCGGGTCTCGAACCCGCGGGCTCAGGCAATCCACTCACCTCAGCCTCCCAAAAGCGCGGGATTACAGGCTGAGCCACCGAGTCCAGCAATTTTTTTAAAAAAATAGTTAAAGAGCTAGAAAGTAAAAAGTTTCAGCTCACATTTCCAGTTACCCCCAGTCTTTCACTTCACATTCCAGTAGGTAAAACTGCTCATAGGTTCCCAACATGTTGATTTACCCCTTCATGCTGTTATACAGGAGTATAGCTTGTTGGTTAAAAGCTTGAATACTGGAATCAGTCAGGCCTGGATTAAATCTCAGCTCCACCTCTTACTAGCTGTGTGATCTGGGACAAAATAAACAAAGTCTCAGTTTCTTCTTTTATAAAATGGGGAATATAAAGTTAAAAAGGATTAAATAGCCGGGCTTGTGGCTCAGCCTGTAATTCCATGCTTTGGGAGACTGAGGTGAGTGAATTGCCTGAGCCCGTGGGTTCAAGACCCGCCTGGGCAACTTGGCAAGACCTCATCTCTACAATAAAACAAAAATTAGCCGGGCGTGGTAGCGCACACCTGTAGTTCCAGCTACTTGGAAGGCTGAGGCGGAAGGATTGCCAGAGCCCAGCAGGTCGAGGCTGCAGTGGCCGCTCCCGGCCACTGCCTCCAGTATGGGTGACAGAGTGAGACTCCAACTTAAAAAAAAAAAAAGGATTAAATGAGGCAACATGTGTAAAGTACTTCATCTAGTTTCTGGCACACAGTGAGCAACAACTATTAGCTATCTTTTTACTGGCTCGCCTATTCACTCTGTGTGAAATTCCCTCCCCCTCTCAATTTAACCTGAATTCCTACATATCCTTTATAAATCTGAGTTACAAGTTTTATCTCTCAAAATTTCTTTTGCCTTTTTTTCTCCCAGTTAATGCTCTGTCTTAAGTGCAATCCTTGTTTCTTGTATACTTCTATTGTAATTTATTTTATCTAAGTGTCTTTCTTCTCTACCTGACTAATAACTTCTTGAAACCATTATTGTTTACTAATTTCTAAATTCCTGGTACCTAAGAAAAATGTGTAACACTCAATAAAGTGTTTAATAGTCAACTGAATAGGATCTATATACAAATTCAATTTAATTTCAAACTCGGCTGGGTGTGGTGGCTTAGCCTGTAATCCCAGCACTTTGGGAGGCCAAGGCCAGAGGATTACCTGAGCCCATGGGTTCGAGACCAGCCTGGGCAACTTGGTGAGACCTTGTCTCTACAATAAATCATGCACACACCAAAAACTAGCCGGACGTGGTGGCGTGCATCTGTTGTTCCAGCTACTTGGAAGCCTGAGGCGGAAGGGTCACCTAAGTACCGCAGGTGGAGGTTGCAGTGGCTGTGAGCATGCTGCTGCACTCCAGTCTGGGCGACAAGAGTGAGACTACAACTCAAAAAATAATAATAATAATAATTTCAAACTCTACATTCTTTTCACTATATCCCATCTCCTCTCCTATACCCTGATAAGCATCAACTCCTAAGAATAAAATTGCCACCTTAATGATAAACACTTAATTTAAAGCTAGCTTTGTTCTAACCAAACACAGTATTCATTCAGGAAGGTCTTTTAATGATAAGTTTTAAACTACCTTTATGGTATACCCATGCACCTGCCACCCAACCCAACTCTGGACTAAACTCTGGGCGGAAAGACAGCCCCGATTCTCCAGGAACTCACATTTCAGAGGAATCTCTCTCTCACGCACGACGGTGAAAGGCAGCTTCTCCTGGTCGTCCAGGGGCACAGACTCCCGGGTAAACACAACAGTGACGGGCACTCTGAGCCGGAGCTGCGGGAAGGAACATTAGGGCCATCGGTCGGGTCTCCATCTCGCCGATGGGCCGTCCCCTGACCCTACCCCACGACAGTCTCACCTGGAGGGCATTCAGCTCACTGATTTCGGAGTAAGGCAACGAGGCTCGGTAGGTCTCCGTGGTCTTCCACCAGAGCGGCAGCCCCAGCACGATGGCCACCGCAGCGAAGAAGAGGGCGGCACGCTTGCCCCGGACCACCTCTGGGGTTACGGGGGGACCGACTGAGGCGCTGGAAACGGACACTGGCGCCCGCCCCACGCCCGACGCGGAGAAACCCAGGCAACCGGCACCCAGAGGCCCTCGGCCCGCGTTCGTAAGCATCCCTGTGCGAGGGGACCCAGCCCAAATCTGAAGGGATCCCGTCTGAAGCGGCCCCCGACCCTCAGTCCGCAGGACCTCTCGCACAGCACAATCCCCACCCACGCATTCCTCCCTCCCAATCTGCGAGCTGCAGGCCCCCGCCCGTAGCCCACCGCACCTAGGTCTGTAGCCGCGGCCCCGGCGGCCGCCATGCTCGTTTCCGGATGCTCTGGCCGCCGAGGGGCGGAGCTGCGGACGCCTCCCCCAATCGGAAACCCGCAACGAGGGGGCGGGACTACGCCGGCGACCAGGGCCAATCGCGGGCGGCACTCTAGACCCGTAGGCGGTGTCCGCTAGTTCCTCGCTGGGAGTTTGAAAGGTTACCCTGGCAGTTGAGGGGTCCCGCGGGAAGTCTCCCGGTTCCCTGTTAAATACTAGTTGGGCAACCACGGGCCCCTCTGAGGTTCGCCGTCTCATCTGAAATTGAGATATTTACTTAAATGAGGCCGTTCGTATAAAGAGGCTGGCACACAGAAAGGCCTCAAACTATTATCATCCTGTTTATCATTAGCGCTCCTCTTCCAGGCGCCCTCTCCTCAAGCCTCAAACATGGAGAAAGCAAGCTAGTGCTTTTAAACATAATATGCTCTCTCACTATTTTAAAGTTCATTTTAATTCATTTCCAATTTAGAAAGCTCAGGATACTTCACTTAGAAATCTTGACAATTGGCCGGGCACGGTGGCTCACGCCTATAATCCCAGCACCTGGGGAGGTCGAGGTGAGAGGATTGCCCGAGTCCTCGGGTTCGAGACCAGCCTGGACAATTTGGCAAGACCTCATCTCTACGATAAATCCAACTCAAAAAAAAAAAAGAAATCTTGACAATTCAGCGAGAAGGCAGGATCTCTTGAGCCCATTGCACTGCATGGCATCCCGAATGACAGAGCAAAACCCTGACAAAAAAAAAAGAAAGAGAAAGAAAAAAGCCGGGCTCGGTGGTTCAGCCTGTAATCCCAGCACTTTGGGAGACCGAGGCAAGTGGATTGCCTGAGCCCGCGGGTTCGAGACCAACCTGGGCAACTTGGCGAGCTCCCGTCTCTACAATAAATAAAAAATTAGGGTAGCGCGTGCCTGTAGTTCCAGCTGCTTGTAAGGCTGAGGCGGAAGGATCGCCAGAGCACAGCAGGTCGAGGCTGAGGTGGCTGTGAGTGTGTTGCTGCACTCCAGCCTAGGTGACAGAGACTCCGATTTAAGAAAAAAAAATAAAAAACTGGATCCTAGTCACTTTAGTTCAAATCCTGGCTTCATCACTTATTATCTGAGCGATCTTGAGAGGTGCCTGTTTCCTCATATTAAAATAGGGATAATAACAGTACCTACTTTACAGACTTGTAGTAAATGTGTTATTACATATAAAGTGATTAGGACAGGGCCTGGCTAGAAAGTGCTATATAAGTGTTAGCTATCTTTGTTATTATAAGGTCAGGCCACACAGGATGGAGCATTAGTGGCCTCCCCAGTTCACACAGAACACACCCAGCTTGTTCTCTCATCTTTTTATCTGCTCAGATAGACGCAGGTTCTCAGCCTAACTCAAATCCCAGCCCATCGGCCAAAGTTCAGCAGGAGGCCGTCTGCCCTTACCCAGACCTTCAAAAAGACCCCCTCTGTGCCCTCTCTATCCCCAATGAGAATGGGCCACAGTCCTTGGTAGCCTCCCCCTGCTCAGCCCTGGGCCCACAGAGCTTTAGGGATTTTCCTCCTTGGGCAGAAGCCCAGGTTCTGGCTTCTCCTGGTGTGGCTCCCCCTAGTGGACCGCGTCAGGTCCCAGCAGGGCTCAACGCGCTGAAATGTGAGACACCCACCCTCCCACCCATTCTCATCCCAGCTTGTCCTGCTGCTTTGAGCCTTGTGCAAAATCTGCCTTCAAGAGTTGCCCAAGCCCGGCTCGGTGGCTCAGCCTGTAATCCCGCGCCTTTGGGAGGCTGAGGTGAGTGGATGGCCTGAGCCCGCGGGTTCGAGACCCGCCTGAGCAACTTGGTGAGACCTCATCTCTACAATAAATCAAAAAATCAGCCGGTTGTGGTAGCACATGCCTGTAATTCCGGCTACTCGGAAGGCTGAGGCGGAAGGATCGCCGGAGCCCAGTAGGTCGAGGCTGCGGTGGCCAGGAGCGGCCGCTGCACTCCAGTCTGGGTGACAGAGTGAGACTCCAACTCAAAAAAAAAAAAAAAAAAAAGAGTTGCCCAAGTCTTGCCTCATGCCATCCTCTTGTAGCTGCAGCCTAGTGCCACTAATGTGGCAGTCCCTGGAAGACTTGCAGCCTTTCTCACTGACTCTCTCCAGCCTTGGACATAAACAGGCAAGAGATGCAGATGGTGACTGAGTGTGTTCTTCTTCCCAAAACTTGAAGCCCAGTAAAACTCAAATCCCACCCTCCCACCTCCAGGGTCACAGGACCTTGAGACAGAATTAGCAGAGAGAGAAACTGGGAGGTGGGAATCTGATGTTATGACAGACAGACAAAGTAGCCTGTTTTGCTACCATTTATTTGCTATGTGATATGTACTCAAGGCATGAGTCAAGGCTTCTGTACTACCCTCTGATCCCAGGAGAGAGGGCAGGCAAGAAGGAGAGCCAGAGGAGAAGCTACCCCATCATGGGGAAATTGTGGAAGCTGGCAGAGGCAGGGAGGGGAGACCCAGGCATCCTACTTTGACTTCTAACAAGTTCTCCTGCCCTCAGTCATGAGGGTCTCCCTATCTTCCCATCCTATGGTCCCAGGTGCAGCAATAGGAAAGGGGAAAAGAGGAGAGACAAAGAAGCTGACTTGGTACTGGATGGAAGCACGTCTGCTCTGCATGACTATTTGGCCCTGGTCATGACTACAAGCAAAAGTGGGTACAGGAGGCCAGCTGAGGCAAGGGCTGTAATGTGGAGTGGATACTCAGTAGGCATGGTTGGCAATGTAGAGGGACTGGACCGCCGCTCCACCATCTTCTCCGCTGCCTTCATACTTGCCCTGGGCTGCAAGTCCATTCACCTACAAAAGGGAAGGGGGGTGGGATGGGCAGGCAGGTAGCAAGGTGAGCTGCCCACAGGTGCCAAACCCTGCCCAGTCTGTAGCCTCTGGGTGCTACTCCCCTGCCCACCACCACTTCTAGCTTCCAACCTCAGCCCGCTTGATGAACTCCTCAGTGGCAGCCGTAGCATTGTCCTGTTGCCCTCGCCAGGCATTGAGTGCAGAGGCCTGCAGGGCACGCCCATAAGAGAAGGTGAGAGCCCAGGGCCGGGGAAGTGGGCAGCGGTTGATGGCATTGAGGTTGAGTGATGCCTCCTCTTCACTCTGACCTCCAGACAGAAAAGTCACTCCTAGGGTGGAGAAGAGAAAAATAAATTGATTGGTCATTCCCTATTTTTCCAGGGTAGGGAATCCCTGAAGGCCATAAGAAGAACCTGAGGATGGGCTTTAGGGGTAGAAGCAGGTTAGGGAGCAGAGTAGTACCTGGGACAGCTGGGGGCACAGTGCGACGCAGGGCAGTGACAGTGGCCATGGCGATCTCCTCTGGGCTGTACTTGATGGGACAGGCATGGCCAGGAGTGACCATGTTGGGCTTGAGCAGGGTCCCCTCTAGGTACACGTGGTGGTCACTCAGAGCCTTGTACACAGCAGCCAGGACCTGAGAGTCAGAGGAGATTTACTAAGGGCCTGGGCCCCCACTGTTTATTGCTTGACGCTCTCTGTCTAGGAGTGGGTGGGCACCGACCATAAGGGCTCAGTATAGACTCAGACTCACAGGCGTGTTCTGGGATCAAGCAAAAGAGCAGTAAGGGAAGTGTGCCTGGATCTAAGCTGGGGGCTTTGGGGAACAAACTCCCCTGCCAGACTGTCCCCATGGTATGTGTCTGTGCCAGAGACTCACCTTCTCTGTAACATACTGGCAACGTTTGAGATCATGGTCTCCATCAGGCAGGATCTCAGGTTCCACAATAGGTACAATGCCATTCTGCAGGCAAGAGCAGAGTAGCTTGGGAGGGGCAGTGAGGAAATGGCAGAAAGACCTGTAACCCTCTCCCCACCAGGCACAAGGCACCCATCTGACCATCCCAACACACACACCTGCTGGCAGATGCTGGCATAGCGGGCCAGCACGTTGGCATTCTCCAGAATGGCAAGTGCTGAGGGTGTGCGCTCACTGATTTTCAGCACACAGCGCCATTTGGCAAAGTCAGCACCATCCTTTTTGTACTGGGCACAGCGTTCCGAGAGCCCATCCAGCCCTGCAAACATAGTGCCAGCCTCATCATTCTGTCCTTCTTTTGCCAACAACAACCACCTAACATCTCTATGGTCCTGAGCCCAACCACCCTATACCTTGAGTCGTGGTTTCTCCATCAGTCCCGGCTAGAGGCACTACACCCTTGTCAACCTGTAGGGGAAACACAGGCAGATGGCTGAACCCAGGCAGGATTCCCCTTGCCACCCCTTCTCTACAAGCCTATTTCCACAGCCAGTCCCCATTCAGAGCCAGAGGCTGCACCTTAATGCCCACGACGATGCCCTTATCCTGGATGGTACGGACAAAGGGAACACCATTATCATCTTTCTGGTAGAGTGTCTCATGGAAGAAGATGACACCTCCAATGCACTTCTTCACACGGTCATCAGCACTGAACAGGACCTGGCGGTACTGCCGGCGGTTCTCCTCTGTGTTTTCCACCCCAATTTGGCTCAGTCGCTTGGCCATGCTGCCTGGGGGCAAATAAAGAAAGGCAGCAAGAACATCTCACAGCTCCCTAGCCACCTCTACCCCACCTGGCCACAGACTCCCACCTACCTACAGACTCATCTGCGGCCAGAATGCCTTTGCCTGGGGCCACAATCCGGAGGGCAATGTCAGACAACTCCTTCTTCTGCTCAGCAGAAAGGGCTGGGTATGAGTGGGGCATGGTGATAATTGCCTGAAGCAGAAACAAGATACAAAAGCCAGACCTCACTCACTACCTCCTCTGCTGCCTTTCCTGGACAGATGGGCCAAATGGCCTTCCCCACCGAGCATGGGGCTGGGAACAGAGCAGCAGTTCTTGGCATGAGTCCTGGGCATCAAAGTGGCACCAAGCCCTCTGACAGCTAGCAGGCTTAGCCAGTTCCCACATCTCCTTTTGTCCCTGGTGGGCGCCCTTCCCAACCCTGGGGAAAGAGGCAAGGTGGGGGTAGGGAGGTGAGGAGACCTGAAGCTACAGGTCTTCTTATGAATCTGCAGCCCATTGAGGATGCCAACCCTTCTTTCACTGAACTTGGCCCCTTCTTGAGGTAGGCATAAGCCTTGGCCTTTCCAACTTCCCTTTTGTCATCTCCAACAGGATCCCTAGAGAAAGTGTACTTTCTCCTAAGGCTTCAAGATGGGGCAAAAGTACTTATTGCTACCTCTTTCCCTTCACTTCTAGGGGAAAATGTTGGGAGGAGGGAAACAGGCAGGGAGTAGGAGTGGCACAAATACCAGTCCACAGCTTCTTTTTTGTACTCGAAATCGGACTGCCTGTGCCTGTTGCCTACTCCCCACTCCAGTGCCAGAGGTTGGCCCTACTTAGGGTGAGTGTTAGTAGGAAGGGAAAGCAGGTCAGCTAAGTTAGTATGCGAAGACTGGGGGAAGAGACACTACCAAATCATCTCCATGCCCGGAGCACTTCATCTGGGTGGAGGGAGGGATTGGAATCAGGAGCACTTCAATTCCCCACAACTCAGACACCCAGAGGGGAGATGGGACAGAGGATAAGGTTAATAGGAGTGAGTAGAGAGCCTGAGAAAGGGAGGAGACTTGGGAGAGATGATGGTAATGCAGAATAACCAGTCAGAGGGGGGGACCTACATTCAAGAGGGAACCTAGCCTAGGAGAGGGAGTAGGCTGGGAAAATGGTCTGGGTGGGAGAGGCTGACCCCAAGGAAAAATCCAGCAGACAGTGGAAGATTTGGACTTGGCAAAGTTGAGGTCTAGATGAGAGAGCTAGGAGGAAGAGATGGAGTGGAAGAGGCTGAGCCATGGGGTGTCAAGTGGATAGAAACTAGCGAGGATGTTAAAAGCCGAAAAGGCACATCCAGGGGCTCCAGGGAGCAGGACAAGGGTGGCAGGGGAAGAGCCAAGGAGAGGAAGTAGAGCAGCTGAGTGGCTCCCGCCTCGCCAGGGCCTTACCTGTGCGCAGCCAGTTGGCAGCAGCAGCCACAGGCGCAGCTCGGGCTCCGGTCGGTCGGCAACAGCTGCGGCTCCAGCCCCGGCTCGCTCGGGTAAATGAGGCTGCGGATGCCGCAGAGATACGTGACTCCCCCCCCCCCGGGGGGGGCCGGCACCTCCCCGCTAGGGCCACGCCCCTTCCGCAGGACTGGTGTCCCGGGCAAGGCCACGCCCTCAGAGGCGGGGCGGCGAGGTGGAGTGAGTCCCTTGCCGGGACCTCGGAGGCTGTTATGGGTTGTGCTCCTCCCACCTCGTGGATCCCTGCCGCCAGGGCCCGGAGGTAGAAAATGGCCTCGCGCTCATTTCTGCCACAATCGCCCTTATCCTGTGCTGGGTACTTGCTGGATGTTGGGAATTAAACTTGGTCTGTTGAAGACAGTCACGTAAGTGGTCTTCACTTAGGCTGGATAGGTGGGACAGAGGCATCATCAAGGTGCCAGAGTTCAGGGTAGGGAGTAATGAACTGAGCTTCTCTGTCCTCACTCCCATATTTAGCATGGCCTACCCCCAACCCAGGGGGATGGGGAAAGTAACAGAATGAAGCCTTTTCTGTTTCCTCCAGGCAGTGAGCCAGGGAACAAGCAGTCCAGTGCCCAGAGTCTTGGGGGAAGCAAGAGAAGGGAGGAAGGACCAACAGCCTTGGCTTTGGGTGTAACAGGAGGAAGAGGGATCTGTGAAGGGTCCCCAGGCAGGAGGGCAAAGCTGCCTCTTCTCTGACCTCATCCACCCCTCCTCCAATCTAGAAAATAAGATTCAGTGAGCTTGAAGAAACACATTTAAAAACACTTTATTTAAATAATATTAAACATAATTGGGCCTGTGCCAACTGGTCTTGATGTTGGGCTAAGGGGGTACTGTCAAAAAAAAAAGGGTGAAGCAAATTCCAGCTTTCCGTTTATTAACTCAGAAATTCCAGCAATCCTTGTAGTTCCTTGCAACCCCTCACCACCTCTGGGATGGACAGCAGAGTCTGGGAAGAGAAGCATAAAAAGCAGCTCAGGACCACAAGGCCAAGGCACAAGATTCCTAGCCCCAGGAAGCAGCCACTGAGTTAGAGGATAGAAGCCAGAGTCAGACCCAACTCTCAGCACAGGCAGGGAACCAGAGCTATGCTCATTGGTACCTCCTGGGACCAGGCCTTGTACCCAGTACTTTAGTTATATCAACTCCCTCCCTCCTTTACCTTATAAATATGCTGAACAATGTCATCTAGTTTTTTTAACTCCTTCTCAGAGAGCCGAAGGTTCTCCTCTAAGATGTTTCTCTAGAAAGGAAATAGATTTCAAAAGTCCTATGCTTAAGCCGGTCTCGGTGGCTCAGCCTGTAATCCCGCGCTTTGGGAGACTGAGGTGAGTGGATTGCCTGAGCCTGAGGGTTCAAGACCCGCCTGGGCAACTTGGTGAGACCTCATCTCTACAATAAATCAAAAAATTAGCCGGGCGTGGTAGCGCGCGCCTGTAGTTCCAGCTACTTGGAAGGCTGAGGCGGAAGGATCGCCAGAGCCGAGCAGGTCGAGGCCACAGTGTTCGAGAGCGGCCACTGCACTCCAGTCTGGGCGACCGAGTGAGACTCCAACTCAAAAAAAAAAAAAGAAAGAAATTAAAACAAAATAGCACCAGGCTCGGTGGCTCAGCCTGTAATCCTGTGCCTTTGGGAGGCTGAGGTGAGTGGATTGCCTGAGCCCGCGGGTTCGAGACCCACCTGGGCAGCGAGACCTCATCTCTACAATAAATCAAAAAATCAGCCGGGCGTGGTAGCGCATGCCTGTAATTCCAGCTACTCAGAAGGCTGAGGCGGAAGGATCACCGGAGCCCAGCGGGTGGAGGCTGCGGTGGCCAGAAGCGGCCACTGCACTCCAGTCTGGGTGACAGAGTGAGACTCCAACTCAAAAAAAAAAAGTCCTATGCTTAAAGGAACAGCATAGTTGTTAGGAGAAATATGGCAGGACATTTGCTAGTGATGGTAGCAAATGGCCCTGGAACAGCATGGAAAATCTTACCTGGCTCTGGAACTTGATCATAAGTTTTTCCTTCTCATTTTTCTTCTCCAGGAACATAATCCTCAGCTTGTCTACCTATAGATATGTGCAGATCAGTAGGGGCACAGCCTGGGTTCCCACCAGCTGCCCAGCTCCTCTGTTAATTCTGAGTCACCTCCTGGGAGAGCAACACTTTCTCCTCAATCCAGTTAGTGGCCATGGGCTGGCAGCTGGGATCCAGCTGGCCTGCCAAGGTCTCCTGGAGCACTTTATTCTCTGTCTCCGCACGCCGAAATGAGCGGGTGAGTTGGGCCACCTCCTCTTTAAGGCTCTGGGAATGAGAATGGACATGTATCCAATAGCCCAAAAAGGTTCTTTCTATCCTTCTCATCCCATGTGGTGAACAAAGGTAAACCAAGGTATCCATTTCTTGTATTTGGGATCCTGGATACTAGTGACACAGAAGACAAAGGCCTAGGCATCACAATGAACGTACCCTGAGCTCGCCACTCTTGTCTATCTTCTCTAGTAGCTTCTTGTTCTGCTGCTGTATCACTTCCTGGAGCTCCTTTTCATTCTTTGAGGGAAAGGGAGGTGAGAAGACACTGAAAGTGAGCTGGCTTCTTCTCAGCCCTTCTCAAAAGATAGGAGAGAGTACCTGACCCATGCTCAGCCCAGGTGGGACCAGTTGATACCACTCCAAAGGCTTAGTCAGGTAAGGCACATTTCAGTGTTGGGAGAGTTCTTGACTTCTCTGGAACTGCCTGTTCTTCCCTGGGTCTGCCTGGGAAGATAGGTCAGCCCATAGCTGATTCCCAAATATGTGCACTGTCTGACCCCAGGAAGGGCAAAATTAGGGCAGTGGTTGGAAAACCCCCACCACCCAGATTCCTAGAGAGACAGTGGCTCCCAGTAGGCCAATAGAGCTGCCCCAGTTCAACGCCCCACTTCCAGGCCCCTCCTTCACCTTGTAGCGCAAGCACAAGGCCTGATTCAGCTTCTCTATGTCTGCTTCCTTTGCCTTCTGGGCTTCTTGATGCTCTTCTTCCTGGGCCTGCAGCCTAGCCTGCAGATCACAACTAGGGGAGGGAAGAATTCAGCATCATTTCTGTTCTCTCAGGGTCCAGCTGGGTTCCTAACATAAGAGCCTGTCTCACTCTCCCTCTGTCACCAAGACTTCATCCCACTCACATTTTTTGCTGCAGAGTGCTAATGGCTTCTTCTTTAGACTCTTGCAGCAGGGAACAAACACTCTGAAGCTCAAGAGTCACAGCAGTCATTTCTGCCAGGCGCTTCTCTATGCCTGGGGTCTCTGAAAGAGAAAGTCCCTAGATAGAGATATGGTGCTCTAGCCCTGGAAGGAAGGAGTGTATAGCCATCATTCCACAACTCTTTTGCATTACCCACCCACAGGATTTGAATGTCCGGAACATTACAGATCCCAAAAGACAGAGATAAAATGAGCCCAAGTAGAATTGAGGTTTTTAGAGCAAAGCACTTCTCACTGCTTTTGTCTTTACTCATTACCACCAGATTTTCTAGAAATGAGGCAGGATCCCTGGAGCCCGTCCTAACCTGTAGGCTGAAGGGAAATCATTGATGCTACTCGGGTGAAAGCACTCTTGTCACTTCCAAGCAAGGGCACAGGAGCTAATTCTGGCTCTAAAACAAAAACCAACCGTGAGAGAGAGTCCCTTTGGCAACCCAGTCAGAGGTCTGCCACAGTGGAAGGCAGGGAGAGATAGGCCTAATGATAGGCTCCTGAAGATAATGGGAGCAAGGTCACAACTTTCCCACCCCTAAATCCCAGGGTCTTTAACCTTCATCTGTCACTGCGGTCAAGATGCTTCCCAAGAAGGTGCTGTCATTGGGCAGAGGATATTCCTGGATGGAAGCACAGGCTGTGCTTAGCAGAAGGGTCTCTTGTTCAGTCTAAGAGCAAAGGAGAAGAAAAAAATATCAACTGCTGTTAAGGATTAGTGATTTCCTGAGTTCCCACGTACTCCTAGCCATCTTCTCGAGAATGCTGTTCTACCTCACTTCTCTATCTTCAACTCCTCCATCACTAGCTTCCCTTAAAATTGTTTATATTCTTAAGTCTCTCCCATTAAAACAATATTTTAATATAGCCGGGCTCGGTGGCTCAGCCTGTAATCTCGCGCCTTTGGGAGGCTGAGGTGAGTGGATTGCCTGAGCCCGCGGGTTCATGACCCGCCTGGGCAGCAACACTTCATCTCTACAATAAATCAAAAAATCAGCCGGGCGTGGTAGCGCACACCTGTAGTTC